ATGCTGGGTGTGAGCAATTGCCTTGCAGTACACAGAGGGAGGCTGCAAGAGAAGGTATGTTATGTGTTGTATTATATACCTATATATAGGTATATTAGATATCTACTAGGATTCTGGGAGCACTGGGATCGGCTCTAGCAAAGGCACATAGAGGTATGTGGGTTTCTGCAGAAGGACAGCACCCTGCAGGACATGGGTAGGTTGGGAAAGGGGTCTCACTGCTGCCCACAAGCTGGGCAAAGCTCAGGAATCAGAGCAGCAAGACAAGGTGTGGTGGCAGGGGCTGCACCGCAGAAGAGGGTGAGGCTTCAGGGGCACATGCAGGGGTGTGTGTTGGATGTCGCAGGAGTTTGTAGAGCGTGCACGGGTGTTCACTGCAGAGCTGGCACCCGACAGCATGCACGTCTGGAGAGCACAGATTCTACAAGGCAGGGCAGGCATCTAGGTCACAGGGGACTGGTGGGGCATCTAGACAGCATGGAGGTCCTCCTGTCCACACATGCACACACCTGCCCAGCTAGGTGTCCTGAGCCCTCCCCACATGCCACAAGGAGTGAGTGAACAGGAACACAAACCGAAGAGAGAGCGGACCCCCAGGCCTGGCGGGGGGCCGTGGTACGTACTGTGGCCACTGGTATAGTGCTGCAGCTTGTCGGTGTACTCAGAGTCAGCACGCTCAAACCCCCGTCTTCTGGAAAGAAAGGGAGTCCTGAGCCCCAGCATGGGTCCATTGGGGCTGAGAGACACACTACAGGGGCATCTCTTCCCTCTTCACCTTCCTGTCCACATCCTCCCCTCCCTTACCCCCGCCACCCTGCCTCTCTCCAGTTGCCACCCCCTTGCACAGCCCCAGCCCCAGGTCACGCGCTCAGACTGACCTACCTGTTGCACACAATAATGATGACGACTACAGCAATGAGGAACACCAGTCCTGCTGCAGAGGAGCCGATGATGAGTGGCAGCTTCTCCTGGACACTGGTCTGGTACTCAGCTGGCACGTAAGGAAGAGGAAATGGGTTACTGCGGCATAAATGGGCCAGTAGGAAGATTGTATAGAGCTATCCCTTTTGGGTGGGAAAGTTTAGTCTCATGGATGCATGCATGCTGTGCCTTGCTCCTTGGCCTCAGGGACAGAAAACTGGCTTTGCCTGTTTTATTTAGCAGCACAAAGTTAGAAAACAGAGGTCCAGGTCTGCATTTGTCATCAACAGCTGTGCACATGAAAATCATAAATTTTGTTTCCTCTAAATCCAACTGAGTGAACATGTCCCCATGCCAGAAAAGCTTGGCAGAAATTTGCGTAGATTATGTGATTCCCTGCATGGACCACCAAGTGTCCATGCCTCTCTCCAGGTCTTGCCAGGTTGAATAAATGCGTGTGGCTTGCCAATGCACCCTTGAAGAGACTAACAGCAAGTGGACCAGCACTGCTGCCAGTGCATCTCCACCTTGTTCAAGTCCCTCTAGACCCTGTGTCACCTTCATGCAGAGGCAGCCGAAGACTCACCTTCAGTCATGGTCTGGAAATACATCTTGCCACTATACCGGCCGTACCCGGCCACAGTACGTGCTCGCACCTGGAAGACGTAGATGGTGCCAGCTTTGAGGTTTTGCACTGCCACGGTGTTGGTAGGGCTCTTCACTGTTGTTGAATTTAATTCGCTCAGATCCTGCCAAAAAAATACAAATCTTCCATCAGAAAAATGAGTCCAGAATCAGGAGCTGCATTTCTAGAAGGAGACCAGGGTAGCATGGGTGGAGAGACCACCATGGTGAGACCATGGGCCTGAACAGACTGTTCTTCCAAGCCTGCCACCCATCAGAGAGACACAGAAGCAGAAATGAGAGTACAGATATTCCTGGGCTACCCACCACCTCTCAGAAAAGACTCTTGAAACCTCAGGTCGTTTCTCCAAGCCTTGAGCTCAATGGGGACGGGAACTTGTTCCCTCTTCTGTGCCCACTTTCTCTCAGCACTGTCCTTCTTCCTCATCCCCTCCTGTGCCTGATCCAGCCTCAACACCCTCTCCCTTTGCTCTTCCCCATCTCCCTTTGCCTGTGCTGGAGGTAAAGCCCACCTGAACATACAGCTTTGGACCTCAGAGGAGAGCTACTACCATGACTCTGCACAGGGCTTGCTTCACCAGGGACCAGGGCTAGGTTTTCAAAGCTGCGGCACTGAAGAACGTATTTAAAAGTGACAATGAGACTACTTCCAAATTTCTGTCCCACCTCTTGTGTGCCATTTTTCTACCTGAGGACTTGAGCAGTCATATCATAGCAGTATAGATGGTATTGCACTTGTGTAAGTGATGGATCCATCACTGCCCTTAGTAATTATGCCCTTAGCTGAGCATCCAGAAGCACTAGGATGGGCCAGGATCTCCTTGTGCTAGCCACTGTACAAGAGAACAGACAGTCCCTGTCCCTCCCAGGGACATGGAGAAACAGGTCAGCAGAGGAGGGTGAAAGATGGTACTGAATGTGGTGCTTCCTATCATCAGGGCAAGGTGGCTTTCATGAATTCCTGAAAGTCAGTGCAAAGCAGCAATATATGCAAACAGCATGATTTTTCTGGAAAACAGAAAAATCTTAAAAAAGCCAAGCTGTGAGTATAAGCCCCCATAAAAGGAGATGCAGGCATGGATTTTTGAATCAAATTTCTGTAGCTACGTTGAAAGTGCTCATCCTTTCTGGTAACACCTCCGATCTGGCAGATCAGGTTGTCTTGGCAGGATCACTGGTTGGAACAGATCAGCAGCCGACAGGTCAAAATCTGAGCTGGCAAGTTTACAAGCGAGTCCCTGAGTTCTGCTAACTTCAAGTCACTGTAAAGGGCTCAGCAAGCCCAAAAACTCCCACCCCACACAGACTCACCAGAGAGGCGAGATAACCTCATGAGAAGTAGGGAGAGACTGGCAGAAAGAAGTCAGACACATAGTTTGTGCAATCCCATCAAGTGGGACTGAGGGTGTGATCAAGGGACTGGGCTTTTGCCTCAGCCATGAAACTCCACTGGAGGGTCATGGACAGATTGCTTCTCATACTGTGCTACCATGAGATCAGAGTGAAACTCGTAGCGAGGAGCAAAGCGTCCACTCCTCCTCACCAACTTCTTCTGCAGTGGACTCCTGAAGGACAGAGGGTATCAAAGAGGCAATCAGGCAGGAGGTCCCATCTTGTAACGAGCCAAGGTTTCCTCAAACAAAGGTGCAAGTTGCTCATGCTGTTGTTCTCTTGCGCTGCTTTGGCTGCCTGCAGGCAACAGGGAAGCAGAAGTCAACAGAGAATCTTGCATCGAGCTTTTCACACCCTTTGCCTAAAGGGAGCTGTGTCCTCAGCCTCCTCAGCTGCTGGACCACAGCATGAGTCAGGTTGTCTTGCCCACCAATAAATGGTGGAGTTTGCCTTTGGGGGCTGCTGGTCTCCATTCTTTTCCACTCTTCCCATTGCTAGCCATCTGGTGACTTTGGTTTCATGTTCATTCACTTCTGAGAACAGCACTGGTGCCTTCACTCAGAGGATCTTCTGCACAGCCAGAAGCTGTGATACCAGCAACATTAGAGGACAACAAAGAACAGTCATTCACTGTGGGGCTCCATACAGCAGATCATATTGAACCAATGTTCTCTCCATGTTCCTGGGACAGCCTGGTGCTTTCTCAATTAGTCATCATGCTGGAGCAGAATTGCAAGCGCTCTGGCATTTGCAAGATGGATTATACTCCTGATCCAGGTTTGTGCAGACTATTTGCCTCACAGATACAAGGCAGCTGAAAGACAACATACATGGAGTTAATTTCTTCTTGTATTAAGCTTTTGATTGAGCAGTGCTCTGGTGTGGATGGCTGGTAAGAGAATGGTCTAACAGGAATGTGCTTCTCCAAGTGTGCAGTCAAACTTGGAGGCTTGGAAATGCTGATGGCACATCATTCTGCAGGGTAATGCAAAGCAGCTCTGCAAATACGTGGGAGGGGGAGGCCTCCACTATTAATGGTGTTCAGGAACAGTTTTCTCTTCTAAAAACTACAACATCAGTTTTATCCACCTGGAACTGGCGCTGAAGGTGCCTGGGTATCACTGGGGTGTTTGAGAATTAAACTAATGACAATGAAAAGCTCTAGTACAGATACACAGACAAGAAGGATCAAGAAAAGATGAGCACGCAGAAAATTGATTGCCTTGTTCATCTGATCAGGAACTCCCTTGAACCTTTCCCAGGCAGGCTAGGAGAGAAATAGGTCAGGAAATGTTTAGTTTTAGTACTCAAGGGCTTGAATCCTCCCAGGCCCTTGGATGGCGCTAACACCACAGTTGTTTTAAAATCATTTGTCCAACTGTTGGAGGGAACCTCATCCCTGTTCCTGGAGGACTTTAAATTAAATGCAATGGGCGTGCTTACAAGACAGTTTATAGTCTGGAAAATTGATGTCTGTCTATCTCAGAAAGGGGTGCTCATGCCTGTGCTCTCCTTTTAATCCCAGACAGCAAGGAAAGAGCATTTACACGTCTCCACCCTCCCTTATCAGACCTATTCTTTCCTCTTGGCATATTGCTCAGCCATCACCTCTCCAGCTATTCACTTCAAACACTTCACTTTCACCCCTCTGGGCTTCTCCAGCAGGTCCAGGGCATCCCAAGTCATTTAAAGACCAAATCCCTTTGCTGTTTCTCTCAGCTTGTTTTTTGCAGAGGTTTGGTGGTTGGTCTTTTTTTTTTTTCCCCTGCTGATTTTGGTTTGAGTTTGGAAATCCTAACTCAAAATAACACAGTTCTTATTTCCTCATAGGTTTGATTTTGAGTCCTCACCTGGTTCCCCTTCCCCTGAGCCAAACTTAAGCTGAAACCAAAGTCTGATTAACAAAAAAAAAGTTTCTTGAAACACGGATAGTCTGTGAAACACTCAAAAGATTTGAAAAAAAATTGTTTCTAAAAAGCCATGTTTTATCAGCTAAAAAAAAAAAAAAGCCAAATAAAAATGTCAGCTGACTTAATTTGGCAGACAGCTCCTCTGCGCGTCTGCACAGCGGCAATCTGCTATGGTTCGGTTCCTGGAGCAAACAGAGCCACACGTACACAGCTAGCCCCAAGGCTGTGTGCCAAATCGTCACACATCTGAATTTTGGCCCCCATGGGTCGAGTACATTAGGAGAGATGCTCAGATGTGGTAACAGGGTCCTGCTGGCCACTCTGGGGGTGGATCCGTGCAGTCCACAGCTCCCAGACTGGCATGGGGAGCACCATTTGTGGGGAGATCTCAAGAGCATTTGCCCTCCCAGCCAGGTATCTGACCAAGTGTATTGTGGTAAGAGTGTCTGGATGCCTCTCACTGAGCCCTGGACAGAAGCAGCATGGACCCTGGGCAGGGATTGGGACTGCAGGAAAGCTATCACAGGGCTCCCTGTCAATGTTTCCTCTTAATCATCTTGATCTCTCAGTTTTCCCCAGACAGAGTCCCCTCCAAGGATTTGCGCAGCAAAGGGGAAGGGGCATTCCAGCTCTCGCTCCATCCTGGGGACACGTGGGAAACACCAGGCAGCAGCTTTGGCCCCAGGCTCAGGGATGCTGGTGTCCAACACTGCTGGCCGGAGACCAGGAATGTCCTCTGAGCCAGCCCAGCAGCAGTGATTTTTTTTGCTGTCCTTGGCACGAGCCCTGGTGACATCCAGTTCTGGGGACGCTGGGCTCCTGCCAGAAGCTCCTGGGCACCACAAAAACTATAGCCAGCTCTACTCCCACTTCCACCTCCACCTCCAGCTGCCACAGGTCACCTCTCCCCCACCCTTCAGCCCCCCAGCCAACCCATGCCCTTTCCCCAGCACTGGTTGGAGACAAAGGGCTCCTGTGCCTCCTAAAACATTTGCATCGGTGACGGAACTGGGCACAAGGGGTGGGCTGAATGTCTTCAAACAATTACAAAATGGGCAACTTCAGCATACTCTAAGACAAATCATTTTGCATAACAAAGAAAGCTAATTATTCTTTGCAGTGCTTGACACTGCAGTGGGTGTCCAGCTCCAGGGATTAATTTGGCAACTTTGGACAAAAACTCTATGCCCTTTCTAAGTGAAGACAGCACTCACTTTTTTAATATGACAAATGTTGCTAGGTGCCTCTTGGAGGTAAAAAAAAAATACATTAAGGAGAGGACCATAGAGACCAGACTCCTCATTCAGTGTTTGCATAACAATCTGCACTGATTTGCTCTAAGTACATGTGAAAGAAAATCGTCTTGTTGCCTCTGTACAGGCATTTTTAATAGCATCTAATAATAGCAATGTTATAAATTACCTGTGAAATGGAAACAAAAATATACCTTTGTTTCAGGTATTGTCAACAGCTCTTTTCTGTTAACGCTAAAACACTTATTCCTTTTTTTAAAATGTAATTTATGTCTTTATATAGAAGAGAATCAATTTAAAATGGAGAGCCAAAATACTTTCTATACAAGATGCATATGCTGCTATTCTTATATTTGAACTGTTTTCATGCTAATAAAATGTTATCTTCTACTGGGGAAAAAAAATTCCATTAGAAACAACTTAACTAGCTCCAGAGATATTTTCTGAGCATTCAGAAGCACATGGGACAGTTTGCATTGAAACATTTTGGAAGAAAATCACCTCTGTACAGACTGGCAGTTGAGTGAGAACACACCTGGGATGTGTCACGCACTCCATCCAAATTGCAAGTATTGATGGGAAGCAGGGGAAAAGCACGGCATATCTGAAGCTGTGCATTTTGGGACTGTTCCCAGGGATCAAGTAAATGGCTTTCAATTGCAAAACTCATCACTGCAATGGCTAGACTAACATGAGATTCAGCTCTGCCAAGCAGGCAGAGAAGGATATACTGTCATTGCATTGCTGAAAATGCAGAGGGCTCTTGACTGACCTGCCAAAGCATATGAAGACCTTGGCTTGACTACTGATGAATCAGACCTTGAGTGTGCAACTGGGACTTCGAAGTGATGGCTAACACACACAGAGGAGCTTGGGGAAAAGACAAATCCACTGTCATTGGCCAGGCCCTGCCTCAAGCTCTTGGTTATTCCACTTCCTTTTTAACCTGTTTCCAAATCCTCTGAGGTTTTCTTGCTGTGGGACTAAGCTTTGACCCAATGTCCCCTTTCTGAGAATGACATGGTTGGGGAGAATGACACTGGTTGAGGAGAAGATAAAGATATGCCTTTCTTCAACCAAAGCACCAACAAAAAATATTCCAAGAGGTTCAAATGATTCTGCTTCTCTACTCCACTCTGGTGAGACCCCACCTACAGTACAGAAAAGACATGGACCTGTTGGAGCAAGTTCAGAGGAGGCCACCAAAATGATAAGAGGGATGGAACACCTCTCCTAGGAGGACAGGCTGAGATAGTTGGGGTTGTTCAGCCTGGAGAAGGGAAGGCTCTGGGGAGACCTTATTGCAGCCTTCCAGTGCTTAAAGGGGGCTTAGGAGAAAGATGGGGACAGACTTTTAGCTGGGCCTGTAGCGACAGGACAAGGGGTGATGGTTTTAAACTAAAAGACGGGAGAATCAGACTAGACATATGGAAGAAATTTTTGACACTGACGGTGGTGAAACACTGGCACAGGTCACCCGGAGATGTGGTAGATGCCTCATCCCTGGAAACATTCAAGGTAGGTTGGACGGGGCTCTGAGCAACTTGCTGTAGTTGAAGATGTTCCTGCTCGTTGTAGGAGGATTGGACTAGATGATCTTTAAAGGTGCCTTCCAACCCAAACCATTCTATGATTCTATGATCCCTTTCTGAGAATGACATACATCTTGGTTGAGGAGGAGATAAAGACTTGCCTTTCTTCTTCAACCAAAGTACCAGCAAAAAAATATACCAAGGGTTTCAAATACCAGGACAGAAAGCACCTCAGCACCAGCACGTGGTCCTGCTTGCATTGTCCCCTCTGCCAGGGCTAGTGTTCCACCTGAGAGCCGGCTGCCATGAAAAGCATTGCCTGAGCGTGGCTTGGGCCACTTGTCCCCATGATCAGGGACATGCTGTGCCCTAAGCGCTGATGATGGGGCAAGCAGATGCTCACCTTGGCTGTGAAGATCGGCCGTGAACAGCAGGTTCCCCTTTAGAGAAAAATTCCCTTTATTTAGAGCTTCGACCAGAAAACAGAGGGGAGGGGGAAGAAAGAAAGAGGGGGAGAGATTAAGAGAAAGAGGAGGAGAATGAACTCCCTGACATCTTCTGTCTCTACTTCAAGAGTCCTCAGGGAAAGCACCCCTCTTGCTTTCCAGATCTATCTTGTTACTTACTCATCCATCTTACCACACGTTCTGGCATCATTTCCAAGGGTCAAATAAATGTCTGTGGTTTATGCAATATAGGTCAGGACCTATTTAACAGCTTACAAAGAAGCTCCCCCCGTCCTCATTCTCCCTCTGGCTCTTGGTGATGAAAAAATAGGTCACAGGCAGGCGGTGGGGGGATTAATCATTTCTTCCGGCAACTGCTGTGAAAAATGTTTTCAGTTCCATTTAATCATAAAGCTTTTTAATTAGTTAGTTTGCAATTTTTAATGTATGGTTTATAACCTCTTGTTTAAGAGGACAGATTCCTGGAAGGAGAAATCTCCTGTTAAACTCCTCCTCTGGGTAGCACAGATGAACTTCACCAGCCAGGCAGAGCTTGGCAGGTCCTGGGACCAGCACCAGCATGGTCTTCAGGTCTCTCAGCAGCCACACAACTCCAGCCCCATGGGATGGACACCCTGGCACAGCCCTGGCTTACAGTCCCTCTGCTTGCCTGGGCCAGGGAAGGTGGAAGACACACGTTCCTTGGGGATAAAGAGACAGAGCTGCGGGACCCCTTCACATCAGCCTCCCTCGACTGCATAGTCCAGTATGTACCCTCCATGGGAGTATGGGACAGCTTCTCCCCGGTACAAAACCCGGGTACCCGGCCTGCTGCACACAGGTGCCAAACTCACCTTTGGTGTTAATGCACTGACAGACAGCATTACACAAAATCTCACTGACTCATCTAGTGTGGTCCAGCCTCGGACTAGATGCTCTGCAACATGCCTACCATTCCCAAATGTCCCAGTAGGGGAAAGGGAAAAGTTAGACCCTGGCCCCTGGCTACCCAGCTCTCCCTGCAATGGATCCACCTGCCACAAGTGCTGGAGAGGTGAAGGAAGCAGAAGCCTCTCCTGAAAGACCAGCAGATTTTCCCCACTTGCAGTGTCTGTGCAGTTTCACTGGAACCACCACTGGGCTCTGTAGGGTTGGCAGCCACTGCCACCCACACGGCCAACTGCAGCAAGAGAAGGAACCTATTGATCAACCAACCTCTGTGGCTGGTGTTACACCCTTATGCAAAGCTTTGCACCACCTCCTCTCCCAAAAACCTGTGGCTGAACCCTGCCAAGGTCCCACAGTACCTTCTCATAATATTGCAGCTCATAATCCAGGATGACTCCGTTGGGCTGGTCAGGCTGAGACCATGAGAGGGTAATGCTGTCCACGGTGCGGCTGACCTGGTGCATGATGGACACAGCTGAAGGAGCTGGAAGAGAGAGTGAGAGACAGGCCTCAGTCAGATCCCTTCATGGGCAGGACCCTCATCCTCTGGCTGGAGGCAGGCAGGTGTCTTATTGCTATTTGGAGTTACTGAACTTGCTTCCAGCAGTGGCAGGGCTGTCCAGGGGTCAGGAGATCCTGGGTTTTGCTGTTTGCAGAGAGCAGTTGGGGAGAACATAATGTTTCCACTGCTCACTATGAGTTTGTAATTAGAAACCATGCAGGGCAGCATCTTGGGCGGGAAAACAGATCATTCCCAGGCAAAATGAGCCCAGGGTTGGAGCAAACACAGCCTTGTTCCCCTGGACAAAGCACTACCAGCCCAGCAACGTGCAATTCTCCCCGCTTGCCGTGGGGAAGTAGAGGGTTCGTACTTTGACATTTGCATAGAGCAGCTTTATGAGGCATAGGCAGACGCAGGAAGCAAGCAGCTCTTCTCCGCCTCGGCGTGCTGGGTCTGCAAGATGCAC